CTCTGCTCTCAAAATCTTTTTTTTTTCTTCTTTTTTCTTTTTTTTTTTATTATTTGTTCGGCTCGGTGAACAAACACTAACCTGGAGCAAGTTAGCGTCTAGCCGGTAAGCTCGAAAAAGGGCTGCAGGCTTGCTCTCCATTGTTCGGCTGCTCCCGCACACTGTCTGTACACTGTGTCCCCATGGCTGAGGCAGACATGGAGGATAGACAGACAGACAGACAAACAGACAGACAGACAGACAGACAGACAGACAGACAGACAGACAGACAGACAGAGGCTGGTGTTGACTGATTTTTTTTTTTTTTTTTTTTTTTTTTTTTTTTTTTTTTTTTTTTTTTTTATGTGGGCCAATCACTATTGTCTTATGATGCAGTTTGCATCTGGACCGCCTGATCTGATCTAACGTTTCATACAGATTTAACCTGTGTTATCTTGTGATGCCGCTTCAGGTGCGTCAGTCACTAGAAAGTAATTACACCTGCTTCATGCATCAGCTTTTTTGTGGCTCTAAATATTGGCTTTTCCTGCAGCAGTTGACTGTGAATGCCTGCAGGCAGCTGTTGATTGATGTAATCCCTTTTAAAGGTGAACCTTTGTTAAGGTGGACTGAGGAAGGTGCCCAGCGGATGACTTAAACCTGGTCAACAGGGCAGTTCAGGTGTGTGTGTGTGTGTGTGTGTGTGTGTGTGTGTGTGTGTGTGTGTGTGTGTGTGTGGAGGGTACGGTGATCTGGGTGGGTTTGCTGCAGGGTTACGCCCAAACCGCATCAAGAAGATGTTTGAGGGATAAAACGCAATTGGATCAAAATTAAAGTTGAAGTATTGATCGGAGACGTCGATCAGTGCGTTTTTTGAAAAAAGGAAAAGAAGAAAAAAGAAAAAGAAAAAAAGAAAAGGGGATCGAGCGAGGAGGTGACAGACAGTTGGCGATGAGCCGAGGCGTCTCTTTGTGGCGGCGGCGGGGGGTGCTGAGTTTACAGTAACCATTCTGCAGCTTTTTCTGCCACTCCCTTCAACGCACAGCTCTGCTCTCGGCTGCAGGCGGGAGAAACACACGCATCAGTAATCAGAGCTGGTCAGTGTGTGTGTGTGTGTGTGTGTGTGTGTGTGTGTGTGTGTGCTTCCTACAGTAGCTGTCAACATATATGTGTGTGTGTTTAGCAGTGCTTCACACTGCAGAGGGGTTTACTACCCCTACTCCTTCCTTGCAGCCTCGTCGGTGAATGAATGGAGATGGCGTTTGCAGCGCCACCTGTCCCCCTCCCACGCTGGCTAACGCCCACCACCTATGGCACCGGAGAGCCGTTAGAGGAGGAGGTCATTTTTGGAATAGTTGCACACCTGTGGCCTATTTACTCGCCACATAGCTGAAATTGCTGAGGCACCTCTCTCAGTGCTGTAGCCTGGCCGACTTTAAGAGATTTAGAATTTGGGGCAGATCCAGTACTTTCATCATTTTTCTTGTTATGTGTTTTTTTTTTTCCCCCACTCAGTCTGTGTATCAGCTGCCAAACTGTACACCGTGTCGTCTGCAATCTGCGCCTGTTTTAAATGTGCTGGTGGGGCGAGGGATGAGTATGTTTTCCGTATGATTTGTCTGCATTTGTGCGTGTGTGTGTGTGTGTGTTTGTCCTTCCTGACTCTGGCTAAGGCCAGTTTAAAGGAGCTTGGGGATTGTGCGCAGCCACATCACACCAGCAGATTAACCAGACTACACACTAAGCTCATTAATCTGAGAGAGACTAATGTCACCAACAATGTGTCAGCAGTCACACACACATACACACACACACACACACACACTTCAAACTGATCCTTTTTGTCTTTATCAAACTGAGAGCCAGGTATTGATGACTGGAGGCCGAGGCAGAGCCCGTCCTCCTCTCTTCCAGGTCATGTTGGATTTAAAAGACGGGCTGGAAATCCCCTGATGAATCAACGTTTAACACTTTGCTGCCACATCAACCAAAAAGCTGCAAATGTTGGGTTTTTTTTGGACGTTTGAAGGAAAAGAGCTTAAGCTTGTTCGCTGCGGCTCGCATATTGGATCTTTTTTTTTTTTTTTTGATACCAGGAAGCTGAGCAGATGTGTGTCTGACGTCTGGTTTCTTTTCGTTTTTTAAACTGAGCTGATTTTGAAGGACTGACTCTTTGACTGTTTCTGAGTTCTTTAAGAAGACGTTAAATCATGTGCTCTCTGGCTTTTCTCACATTTTTGTACCAGTCTTTGGTTTAAAGCTGCAACAGTTAGCTTATTTAATGATCAGCTGATCGACAGAAACTTGATTGGCAATTATTTTGGTGATCATTTAATCCTTTCAGTCATTTTATGAAACAAAAATACCAAAGCTTTTCTGCTCCTGACTGGATATGTTTGGGTTTTGAATTGTTTGTCAGATTAAACAGAACAACAGATGGAATTCTGGGAAATTAAAACATGCATTTTCCTATTTTCAGACATTGTACAACAAAACAATTAACGGACTAACTGAGAAAATAATCAATAGATTAATCAATAACGAAAATTATTTTCAGGGAAACGGAAGTGTCACAGCAGCAACAGGAAGTGAACATTACAGATAAATAATCTTTAGAGTGGAAATAATTAGCTGATTGATCGACAGAAAAATAATCAGCAGCTATTTTGACAATCAATTATTTAATTTGGTTTTAATTGGACTGACAAAAGAAAAAAATTGGAAGACGTCACCCTGGACTTTATATTATTCTATAACTGTCATTATTTTACTAAAACAATTGGCACATTAATCAATTAAAACAATAATATGTTGTATGTTTGGCAGCTTTAAATTTGACTATAATTATATAATACAGTATATAATAGAATTTAGAAGAGGATAAGTTAAATTTTTGAGTATCACAGCAGTACAACATGGCTGTCTGAGGACACAGGACACCACCCTCCACCAAATCCCATTCACAGTGTAGCTTTTGTATTTATTATTATTGTAACATCCTTGTCTCCTGACTGATTTGTGACTGAACGTTTATGTCTGCTCGTCTCTGTCAGCTTCCTGTGCTTGTTGTAGCTTCATGTCTTGTGTATCTGCATCTTCTTGTGCATTTGTGTAAGAGAAGTCACAGTCCATGTGTGTCAGGACAGACCTGGTCAATAAAGTTGATTTAAAATTTTTAATTTTTAATAGGTTTGTATTTAACACATAGCACCTTTAATTTGTTTCGTTCTTTTTGTTAGTTGTAGATTTTTTCCTGCTTTATGTTGTGTGCAGTAGACACTGAGGCATCAAAGAAAATACTATTTTCTTTACTATTAAATGCTCATGTAAACTATGAAGCATCTCTTCAATTTACAGAAATACTGTCTTCATTATTTTCTTACATAAGACTGCAATATGCAAACAATGTCAAACCGACTGTAAGCCAAGCTGCAGCGCTTATTTCCTGCTTGGATCTCAGCACGACATTGTGATATATACAGTAACATGACCTGTGGTGACCTGCCTGACAAACTCAGAGCAGGAGAATCAGTCATTTCTCACTCGTTACTTTATTCCTGACATTTACTTTCAGCTCTCTTCTTCTATACTTTACTTCATTTGTCTGACCTGTGACTTGAATGTTTCATATTGTCAGTGTTAATGTGTAAAATGTCATAATGAAATAAATTTCCATTTGTAAGTTCTGTTTTTACGTACATGCAGAATGTCATAATATCCTCTTCATCTCAGTGACACTGGATTTTATTTATAGTTTATATTAGTGAAAATAAACGGTGAATTATTCAGATGCTTCCTATATGTTATATTATGAATTAAGCAGTTTGTGATTCATGAGAAGATGTGGCGAAATTAGTGTTTTGTTTTCTGAACTATATCAAATTTTCCTTAGTTATCATAGTGTTTTGTGTTTTAGTTCGCATTTTACTGCGTCATTACTAATGATTACACAACTTTCTAATATTTCATAATAAATATAGGAGTGATGTAAGAGTCCAGTGCTGTCTTCAGATGCGTGGTGTCGAGATAGAGACATCTTACAGTTGTGTCTAAATAAAGTCTCTTCACTGCTGTCATTTCATCATTATCAGTTCTTTCCACTGTCGTGTTTATTAATAGAAGCTGTGATTTTTGTCGTCTGACATGTTTTACATTTTATCTTTGGAGGTATTTTTAAACCTTTTTTTTTTTTGAATTCTTGAATCTGTTTCAACAAGATGAAATCCTTGGCGTGATGTGTGTTTCTGCAGAGCTGCCAAGATGTATTACAACTGACATTATACACAAATGGACCTAAATAAAGACATTCACAGAGAAAACAACTGACAAGCAAGTTCTCTGAAGTCAATGTGCTTCCAGAAATTAGTCCATGTGATTTGAAATTAAATGTAAGCATTTGTGTATGGTTATTTGTTAAGTGGGTTACAATACCACAATAATACATTATTAATTAATGCATGTCATGGTGATTACCTCACATAAATACTGTAAATATTTAATTAGTTATGCAAATAAACATTTTATTTGAAGTATGCAAATATCTTAAAGTGTTTTTAATGTGTTCACACAGTCGTTCTGTTGATGTGCTGTACAGTGTACGTGAGGTTTGTCCTGACACAGTTGTTCAGCAGCTTTGTCTTTCTCTCTCTTACAGCTCATTAAAACGGGTCGGGACATGTCGACGAATGATCCATGAACATGAGACGATCCAACAACCACACTGAAACTTACATACACGCACTTTTGTGATTATTGACCGACTGATGATCTGACATCTACCTAAAGAAATAAATTAGTTTCTTAAAGTGTCTCCAGTGCTGTTATAGAAACATGTTTTCCACAATAATTTAAATGTCTTTCTATTGTAATACAAACATAATTTGATGCTAATAAAACATTAATTAAATTGCTCTTCTGTTGTGTTATTTCGAGAAATACATTCAAGTTCTATGCTAGCATTTTGTCATGTATGCTAGCTCTACTGTATGTGTTGGCATGGCTAAGAGTTAGCAAGTTAGCACCTATTCAACATTCCAATAGTTTTCACGGTTTGTGCTAACACATGCTAACATCATGCTGAGTGACAGTTAGCTCCATGCTAACATTTAGCTATAGTGCGTTACATGCCATACTAACACTTTAGCATACACTGTGATGAATACGACACTTAACCATTTTAGCTTGCTCCTTGCTAAGTAACAGTAGGCTTGCTAACATTTTAGCACACAGTATGCTAACTGATACTATGGATCATACTAATATAATAAACAATGCTATGTGATAGTCCACTACATGCTAACATTTTAGTATATACTACTCAGGGAAATACTGCCTCATGCTAACATATTAGCACGGAGTATGTTAACTGATACAAGGGATCATACTCGTATAACAATGCTATATGATAATCCATTGCATGCTAACGTTTTAGCATACCCTACTTTGGGAAATATTCCCACATGCTAACATTTTAGCATACAGAGTGGTATACTAACGCTTTATAACATACTTTATGTAAGAGCTGACTCTCACAAGGCCAAGAGTCCACCTGAATTTTGTCAGCAACAGCGTGTTAGGATGTTAAACACAAAGCTGCCCGTGATAGGAGTAGAGAGGGATAATAAAAATGGCGGACAGCGGATCTCGTGCCTGATGTTTGCTCAGACGCTCCTGAATGAAGTTTTTAAAACTACTTTTGAACCAGATGCAGGTACAACCTCCTGTGCCGAGTGTCCCTGCTGACAGTGCTGTCAACAGTCCAGCAGGAGGGACCCTCTGCAGACTTAAGTGTGGGACAGCTGCTCTGCAGGTGAACTGGACGGACATTAACTGTGTCAGGGGAATAATATACATCTGTAATAATTATCCCTTTTTATAAAAAAAACCCCCAAAATATCTACAGATTAAAAAAACAAAAAACCATGAAACAACATTGTGTTTTTGTGGCATCCATTTAACCCCAGACTGCCTCCTCTACGTCAGTGATTCACCACATTTCCAAGAATTACTTTCAACACTCAACAGTTCCTGTCTGGACCTGTCACAGGCAGCTTTTGTTTTTACATTCGATAGAGTGATAACAACAGGAATATGGGCATATAGAGCTGATACAGTAAGAAACTTAGTCACTTCAGCAAATAGAGAGATTTAAGAATTAACTGTGAAAAATCAACAAAACATTTTCTTTAGCTGTGTTGCATTATGAACAACTAGAAGAAGTTGGTAGTTTTCTCTTCTTTCTAAGATGGATTTGTGCATTTTATGGGAAATTAATCATTACAGAAAGAAGCTCTGACGTTCATTGTGTGTTTCTGATCAACTGAAAGGTTTTTTGAAAGGTCTCTACACAACATCATTTAACCAAATTTGGCCAAATGTATCATGGGAAGAAGAAAATTACACTACATATAAACGGATCACAGACTTGGACATTTTGTTTTGATTTTTTTATAAACATACACTACTGTTTATTGCGTTGCAGTACGCTCAATGTCATATTTGCAAGAGTAATCTCACTCTAAAACTATTACACTGCCTTTCTGTGTCAGGCTTAATGTATTTAGCTACAATAGTACCGAATGTAAAATGTCTTGGAAGCTACAGGTAGCAGCATGAGCTCCAGTCTTTGAATTTGTAAAAGAGAAATTAAATTCAAATTCAAAAGCTAAATTAAAATTGTATCTGTTTCATGTGTAAATCCTTCTTTTTGATTATGTTTATGTCAGTATACAATTTATTTAGAAGCTTAAGTTCAAATTAAATTGTAAAATGTAAATGTTGAATATCTTCTCTGTTTGGTTTTTGAGGTAAAAGTGAATGGATTATGATCCAATTCTAGTTTGTGTATAAAAACGTGTAACCTATTTAAAAATCTACTAAATGAAGAACTTATTCAGTGGTAAAACTGTCATAAATGATTTGAGTTTATATTTTCTGCTGATTAACAGGTAAGTTTATCAGAGAACAGAAAAATGTTTGAAAATGACAAGATAAAGGAGATGATCCTGTAATAATTTAAAGACATTCTCAGATAGAAAAAGGCAAGTAAATTATCATGAATACTATTATAAATTAAAATCTGATGCCAAGTTTAGTTTGTTTAAACTTGAATTAAGTGCTGAATAAACCGGTGTTTATGCTACATACTGTACAATGATTTCTCGACCTTGACTTCTTAGTTTATTGTGTGTGTGTGTGTAGTCTCTGGTTATACAACACAGTTTTATGAACAAACAAAAATAAACCCGTATTTTACAGCCAGAGAAACTGCTTGGTTTTTCATAGGATGTGATGAATCACGGTTTTTGAAAATTATGTCTCAGTTCCCACTCTGACTATTTTCCGTTCCTGTCAAATATGAAAGTTGTGAGATTTAATTTAATTATGTTTCACATCAAACATCTTCAACATGATCAAGTCCGTTTGAGTGTTGGGAGAGAGACGTAAAGGCAGAGAGAGAGAGAGAGAGAGAGAGAGAGACTACACTGACAGCACAAAGCTGAGTCTCTCGCTCTCTCTATCCCTCCATCTCTCGCTCGCTCCGTCTGTAAATCCATGCTGAAATTTGGCTCACACACTTTGGAGCTCTCTGCAGCCAGAAGTAGGCCAAAAGCCATGTGAGGACAGGGCTCAGAGAGAGACAGAGGGAGAGACAGAGCGAGGCAGGGAGGGAGAGACAGGCAGCTGAGGGAAAACCACTGAAAGGAGACGACAGAGGACATGAAGACCGATAATATTTGTGTTATTTCACACCATTAAACTGGATTCATATCTTGATTTTTGCCAACTCATCTTTGAGATTACACAATTTTTAAATGACGATTATGATCTTAATCTTAATTTTAATGAAAAGCAGCATTTAGATAACAATATCAAGGATATCAGTTCTGCACTGAAATGAATACTAATGATATTTCATGAGACAGTTCAGGTCTGTAATATTTCCCCAGTAGCTGTTGAACATATTTAGAAAAATCTTTCTGGTCCAAACTCTGTAAAACAATATAAATTTGATAAATATGTAGTTAAATATTTTCATATTTGTGTGAAATTGGATCAAACAAACCAACATATGACAGTCAACAACAGTTGTGTTTAGGGAGGGAACTGCAGCACACTGAGGGGTTCTGTAAACTGGGTACAGGATATATTTCTTTGTCCTCGGCTCAGTGTTTAATTCTTCTGCATCTGTTGTTCAAACGAGCAAAAATGCAAAAAAAACCAATAACAAAAAAGAAATAAAGAAATAAAGTGTGAAGTATTGGATGAGCATTAAACTGGTGCACATTCTGTGTTGTGGTACAAAATGCTCAATTGTTCTATTAATTCTTTGTGCCTTTTTTCAAATATTAAAATAACAATTCTTGTAATTATGAAATATACGTGATTTTAATTTGAAGGATCTTAAAACATGTTAATTGATAAACTCATCCCTGTGCAGTTAAAAAGACTTTGATTCCTAAAGACTTCACATGTAAATAATAATAAATCATGAATATTTATTTGTTGTTTTCTTGTTTATGCTTTTCAGCGTTTCCCGATCCTGAGATTAAATTGTCAAACTTTTCTTTTGTCAAACTTTTCTTTATATATTTTACCTCTGCAACATATTTTTCTGTAAAAAACAAAACAAAAACTGCAATTCATCCTCCTCAGGTAACAAAGTTCACAGAGTTAAATAAAGGTCCTAAAATGGTCAAATCTCCTGAACACATCTCCACCTGTCTACTGATCCTTCATATGTACAGCAGCTTTTTGTGAATATTTAATATTTAATACTTAAAGTTTGGTTTGAATAAATAACATAAACTGAAGCTCATCAACAACTGATTCGATTTGTAAAATTTGAGATTGTTTAAATTTCCCTTTAACAGTATAAAAGACATGTTTGAGTCCCCTGATTTTTTATGAAATGAGCACAATGTCTTTAAATGTTAGACCCTGCTCGGATTGTTTTTTCTGTGTTCACAGATGTTTTCACATATTAATTAGAATATAGGCCATTATATTTGGAGCTGTCACAATATCAGACTTTCACTACGTTATTATTTGCTAAAAGAATTCACAATAACAAATAGAAAATTTGAAAACAACAATAATAATAATAATAAAGCTTTCAGTGGAATTCATCTTTAACTTTGTTTATCATGAGTTTTGTTTCTTTTTTATCAAACGAATTAAGACTCAAATATGAGAGCAGGGAGGTGGAGAGAGTCTGCAACTATAACTGTAGATAAGCAAACAAGAACAACAATTATACTAAACGCACAGAGAAATGACAAACAGATGAACTGATAAACAAAAGATCTGCCATGAACATGATGTCAATATTTCAATTTTAAAATATCATCTTTTTCATCGATATCTGCCTCTGCTCTCTGAAGTTGTCTCAACGGGGACTGACTGTTAATTTAACTTTCTTTTGTTCATAATTATGTCCACGCCTCGGGCTGTGACTGAATTACAGGAAGACAGTGCTGATGTCCTGAAGACAGGAGCAGAAGCCCGTCAGAGGGTCATCGGTGCTGCCCAGAAGATCATCAGCTGCTCACCGACCTCTGTGGAGGACTGATTACAGCTGTGGCTGTCTGGGCAGAGCAGCGCAGCCGTCACACTCAAAGACCCCTCTCACCCCGGACATCATCCGTCTCACCTGCTGCCCTACGGTCGACGCTTCGGGTCCGACTGAACAGACAGCTTCTACCACAGACAACTGAACACTGCCAAACACAAACACTGACACTGTGTGACTACAGTTACATTTACAGCACACTGCACAGATGTTTACATTCCAGCTGCACCTCTGTATGTGCCCTACATGAACAAAGGATGACTGTAACTCAGAAAATGTGCAATAACTCAGCAGCTTTTTCATCATAT